TGCCCACTTTCCTCCTGGGCCACTTCATGGCACGTCTGGGTGGCAGAGGGGCATTTCCAGGCTCTGCCTTGTCCCTTCTCAAGCAAAACTGGCCCAGCTGGCCATGGTGTGGAGCTGCTCTGCCTCTCTCTCTCGGCCCTGCTCCTTAGGGCTTGTTGCATGCCAGCTTGCTTGGTCAGAGATCCTGGGCCACTGGCTTGTTGCAGAGCTTGGCCCCTTTCTCCTGCTAACTTGCAGATCCTGCACCACAAAGATGATCCAGCCCAAAGACCTGTCTGTGCCAGGGATGTGCCATCCCAGCCCCTCCTTACTGCTGGATTAACTCTGTTCCTCCCATCATGTGAGGGCCTGGCTGTGCCCTCAGGGATGGATGGCACTGTGGTCCATTGGGCACTATCAGGTGTGATGCTGGAACCCAGTGGCTGGCTCCGAGATGGGCTCCAGGACAGGTGGGTGTGTTTGCCACAACCTGAGGCCTCCCAACTGCTGATCCTGTTTTTTCTTTTGTTTCCTATCTCCCTGTTGGAGCAGAGAAGGCAAAGGGACTCAGCCTCCTGCTCCTCTTCTGTCAAAAGGTGAAGCTGTGAGCCCCCTGTGCTGGGCAGGGAGGCGGTGTGGAGCTGTGCAGGGTGAGTGCTGTTCCATCCTGGAGCCTATAGGGACAGCTGGGCTGCCTGCAGCGATGGGGCAGGACAGGGGCTTTGCTGGGGCAAACACTGCAGTGCTCCAGAGAACCATGAGAGCCATCCCCTGCCCAGCACCGTGGCCCCAGCCCCATCTTGCTTCTGGAGCGATGTGGCCCCTGGTCACCTGCAGCAGGTGCTGGAGGGCAGCCCCAGAGCTCTGCCGGCTGTCATTGCTCTGCCCAAATCTGTGCATGGCTGCCCTGCAGCCACCAGCACTTGCTATAGTTTGTTCTGGTGCTTTTGGGCATTTTTTTCTCAAACGTGCCAGATTTTTGTGAATGTCCCTGTAAATACAGAACCCATTACCTGTACTGGAGCAGAGCCATTGTTAGCCCTGGTGGGCCCATATGTAGCAGCAGGAGATGTTGTGAACTGTCCTGCCTCCACCCTGGCCGCTGGTGGCTCTCCCTGAGTCTCTCTGAGAGGGAACGACCCTGCCGGAAACATGCATGTTGTGCCCAGCTGTTGGGCCTGTTCCTCCTCCTTCTGCCCTGCCCCAGGTAGGTGGGCACCTCTGTCTCCACTCTGCACTGAGTGGGACCCCTTCTCTCTGTGCCCCATGTTTTGCAGGACCTTGGAGGGGCTGAGGCGTCGCTGAAGTCGGCAATGGCAGCCTGGGTTTGTGCGCTGCCCGCTGGGCACGGGTGGCCCCGGCCGCTGCCCGCCTGCCCACCCTGCGTCCCCTCCGCCTGCCTTTCAAGTGTAACTGGCGATCGATCTGCCGTGACAACGTCCTCTGAGTCACATTCTCGCCTGCAGGAGTAAAGGGCAAAGGCCAAGTTCTTAGTTTTCATAGAAAACTAATTAGATGACTCCATCGAAAATAAGTCAATAAAGCTGATCAGGGCCTGCACAGAGGGAGCCATTAAAACCCCTGTGACCTTTGCTTGGAGCAAGTGGGCTGGGGCTGCCCCTTCTCTGCAGGAGCTGCCCGCTCTGTGCCAGCTGGACAGCTGCATCCCTGTCACCCGGTGACACCGCAGTGCCGGGCAGGCTGTTTGGGAACCTGGATGGTGCAGTGGTGGTCCCTGTATGGCTGTGTGCAGCTCCTGTGCGCCACAGCGCTGCGCTCGTGCTGGCTCTGCTGCTCAGCTGCCCTGGGCAGAGCAATGCCAGCTCCAGCCTGTTGCAGAAATGCTCCAAGTGTGGTAGCGGCTGCGTGGGTACAGCATGCCAGGCTGCGGAGCTGGGGGACAGATGCCGGTGGCACATGGTGGTGACCGCCACCCTCTGCTGGGGTACAGGCATGGGTGCAGCCCAGCTGGGACGGGCTGGTGGCATCCTCGGAGCAGAGCTGGCCTGAGGCACAAGCAAGCACGAGGTGGTGTGGGTGATTAGGACATGGTGCACATGCTGGAGAACAGGGCAGTGCTTCCAGCAGCAGGGGACCCGGCCCACCCTTACAGAGCTGAACAGCTGGCCTTCTGGGGAGTGTGGACATGCTGGGATGCCATACCCCAGAGAGCGTGATCCCGCT